CGGCAAAACTCAGAAATCAGCAGAGTTCTCAGTCAGTGATTTTGCAGACCATTACAGGCTGTAGTCCCAACAGTGTTCTAGTCTTAGTCGTTTACCTCGGTGGAGAAGATTTAACTTGGTGAGGCGAGAAGTTCGAGAACTATAATTGCTGTTATAATGACTGAACTCCCTAAGTGGGCTTCTGACTTCAGTATTTTCATTGAATTCAGGTTTAGTAAGGGACGGGCAGTTGGCGATTTCTCCTTATATGTTTTTGTTTTTTTTGCCTTGCTTGCTGTGGCCTAATTGAGCGGCTGTGACCACATTTTTTCATTCGAGTCAGCCAGTTGCCAGCTAATCTTCTTACTGGCTGTGGGCGAATGCCACTGAATCTAATGCTCTCTCTCTCTCTCTCTCTCTCTCTCTCTCTCAGACACACACACACACACACACACACAGTGAGAGAGAGAGAGAGAGAGAGAGAGAGAGAGAGAGAGAGAGAGAGAGAGAGAGAGAGAGAGAGAGAGANGAGAGAGAGAGAGAGAGAGAGAGAGAGAGAGAGAGAGAGAGAGAGAGAGAGAGAGAGAGAGAGATTGCAGTGGTCAACCTGTGTCATAACGTTTTTCATTGGGATCTTCTGCCTGTAAGTTGACCCGCTGTGTTCATTCTGGGGTAGCTTAGCTCCACCCACTTGCTGCGTGCTGTGGGCACATTGAACGGCTGCAGAGGTCTACCTGCGCGACCACATCTTTTAATTGGAAATCGGAATTGATTGGTTGTCTTTGATCGTCTTCCTTGCTCTGGCCGGACCCCGGGGTTTCAGTGGATTCAAAACGACTCAATTTCACCAAGTACAAAAAAGTGCGGCGAAGTTACCCCTTTCTACGGGAAACTACGTGGGGGTCACAAAACAGAGTTATAACTGCACTACGGGCCAAGATACAGTTTCGAATTGCAGTTTGGGCAATGTATACATCCCAATCTTCTGGCCAGGTTGTTTCTTTTTTGTAATGACCCGCCAAAACACAGACTGAGAACACTGCTGATTTCTGAGTTCTGCTGCTCGAATGGATGCCTTGCTGAGATCCCCGCATTCTCCTGAGTTTTCTAAGTCTGTGTGTGTGCGCGTGCTTGATGGTCTGCGTGCCCGTCTGAGTGCTGGTCGGCTTGAGTGTGTGTGTGACCCGCAACACTTAGGGCAGCGTCAAAACACTCAAGTAGCAGGCAGGCCAGCACCACACCAAGTAGAAATAGATGTGCCGGGTACTCGAGCCTGAGCAGAAGAAGACAAAAGTTGGCATTTTTAGAGGCCCAGTAGTTGTTGGGTAGGTCTAGGCAGGTACCAGTCCAACCAGTCTGAGTCTAGGGCCTGTACGGGTAATATCAGAGTCTGCAATGATGTTAGGTACCGGTTGCTTGCAGGCCGCGCAGCCTAGGAAGTTACCGCCCAAGAGGCAAGTACGCCGCTATATCTCCCCGAGGAGCGAAGTGCTCCTCCTCCTTCGGTGCGCAAGTTTGGCGACACACTGCTTGGAGCGTTGGCTGGTGGAGCGCTGGGCATTTCAGCGCTGCTAGGAGGAAGGAAACCGGGAGCTCCCACCTCGGCTATGGTTGAGCTCTACCGGTAGGAGGAAGAAGAGGACTGAGGAGGAGAGTGGCGAGGTACCTACCTGGCTATGGTGGGCACCATCTTCATCACCTTGTTAGGCGCTGCATTTGGGAGGGCCCAGTGGGGGTTGCGCCGCACCAAGAAGGGTTCAAGGGGGGGTCAGGCGTGGCGGTCTGAACAGCAGCGAGCATAGCTGCTTTGCGTTGTCCTTTGCACAGCAGAGCGAGGCCCTAGTAGTCATCCATAGCCTTGACCTACATGAAGAAGGGAAGGAGAAGGGTGGCCATGGCTATGGTGGACCTCATATTGTGCCTGCAGCAGAAAAGGGATTCGGACATTGATTCTGGTTCAACCATTCAACATTATTATTATTATTATTATTTATTGTTTGAATTCAAGGGGAGGAGAACAGGAGGAGGAGTGAAAAAAAAGAAAAAGAAAAAAGAAAAAAAAAAGGGAGGAGGAGTGGTTTGCTGGTGGACATCTTCTTCTTCTTCTTCTTCCTCTTCTTCTTCTTCTTCTTCTTCTTCTTCTTCTTCTTCTTCCGTTCATCTTCTTCTTCTTCTTCTTCCTCTTCTTCTTCTTCTTCTTCTTCTTCTTCTTCTTCTTCTTCTTCTTCTTCTTCTTCCGTTCGTCTTCTTCTTCTTCTTCTTTCCCTCGCTCTCTCCTCTCAAGTCCATTCATTTCTTTTTGCAATTGGACAGCATTGTGCTTTCTCATGAAAGTATACTTCGAAATTGGCCAGGATCGTAACATTTTTCTTTTTTCTTTGTGACCAGTTGTGCCATTGCATCCATCTGGCTAATATTCTAGATTGCTGTGGATGAAATGAACAGGGTGCCGTTTCCCGGAGGGAAAAAAAAAATAAAAAATTAAAAAAGTGAACAGGGTGCAGATAGAAAAAAAGGGCCAAGTATGTTGATGTCACTTTTGAGTAAGGAATGAGCAAAAAGAACGCGCGCCGGCAAAGAAAACAGGCGCCGAGTTCAAAAAAGCAATGAAGGTATCAAAGGCCGTGGTGTCAGGTCGGGTATCGTAACTACAGGGGCCGGCCGTGGTGTGAGACGGGGAAAGAAAAAAGGGAACAGAGCCCAACGAATATTCTTTTCTACCCAAATTGCCGTTGCAAACTCACGCCATGATATCTTTGCGGTTGCAGTTTTTTTCTGCCTTTGACAAACTCAAAACCTGTCGCCTCCGCGTTGTTTCAAAAACAAAGTAGAAGAAGAAGAAGTAGAAGAAGTGAACAGGGTGCCGTGGCCACACAAGTCTATACCTAGTATACGATGTTGCTCTTCATTGAAATTTGTTGTCTGTGGATTGACGGGCTGTTTTGTTTTGTAGTTGCTGAGTTAAAGTTGTACCCTCTACCAACGCACCAAATTGGCAATTTACCCTCATCAGATCAGCATAGGTGTGAGTTGTGTGGCGTGCTTTTTTTTTTTTTTTTTTTTTTTTGTGGTCTTGACAGGTGGACCAGGCATGCGATATTAAACTGATCTCCTTCTTCTTCTTCTTCTTCTTTTTATACCGAACAAAGAAGATATCATATAACTGGGAAACAGCCCCGGAGTCCCTTACATCATTTGCTACAGCCAAACGGGCTAAGCAAGGCACTCTCGACCAAATATATCTCTACCTCAGCCCCACAAGGTCATGACAACCAATCCCAATCTCAATCCAACCCTAAAACAAAAACCGCGTTCCCTAATTTAAGAAACCGAAATCCTAATTCACCCCTTGGCCAAACTGCCATTATTAAGCAACCCTGATCTAGCGAAATCCAAGCCAGGTAACAAATCACCAACCAAAAGCACGAAAACAAGATCATCGTCAATGATCTAATCCTAATTACCCACAGACAGAATCCCCAAATGATTCACAAAGTTCCAAAAGCAACAACCATTCACAAAATCCGCACTCTACACTCTGTATACCTCTAATTAACACCGCCAACCAGCAACAAGGTAGCAGATCTTTGCAAATCTCTGAAAATCACGATCGTAATGAGCACCAATCCTACCTAGCGAGTATCACTACCCTAATTGTCGACAAACAAAGTTAACGAATTACCAGTCCACAAAGAGTAATTATACACCCCAAAGTTCCCAAACAACCGTGATTGGTACTATTCTATACTGAGAAGACACAGCCAAATGATTAGAATCTAAGAACAAAATGAAGAATCTGTGAAAGCACAAAAGGTAGGAGAATCATGAGCAACACCACACCCAAAGTAGGAGCTTAGACAACAATGGACAACCCCGGTCGCAACTTGAAACCTGTTGTCAGCGACGGTGGGTGATACTGGTCGCGGCATGAAGTGCGTTCTCTCACTCTCGGAAGTCGACGTTTGTTGATGCACTCTTGTCCTTTATCTCCAGCTCTTCGCACAGATAGAACTGCAACCGCCGTTGCAACACGATCATCTTTCGTATCTGTAATCAGAGGGCAAAGCCCCTGATCAGGTGATAATACTGATATGTACAATGCGCAGATTTTGCCTGTTGACCAGCCCCACATCTCTTCCCTTCCTTTTGCGGCCAATCTAGGATTACGAATACTCGTTGGCCAAGATCAGGATACGGCAGGTGCATGGTTGTGCCCCCTCAAACCGGCCTCCACCTCAGCCCCCATACACTCTATCACCTCTCTGCCTCTGCATACCCAACAACAATTGTGTCAAGGCTGTCAACTTGATTCTGGCAGAGTCACTCTGCAAATTTTTTTTATTCACATTGAGTTTTTTTTTTTTTTTCCCCCCCCCTCTTCTTCTTCTTCTCCTTCTCGTCCTCGTCCTTGTTCTTCTTCCTCCCATCTCCCAGTCTCCATAGACTCCCTCCTTCTTCACCATAGCCTATCTCCCTTGACGTGGCATTGTGTCAGGCTATCAGCTTGACTTTGCGATTTTTTTTTTCGCCACATCAAATTATTTTTCTTCTTCTTCTTCTTCTTCTTCTTCTTCTTCTTCTTCTTCTTCTTCTTCATACCTCCCACTCTCCATAGACTCCCTCCATCGCCACCATAACCTCCCTCCTTTGCATTTTTTTCTTTTCACATCAACTTCTTCTTCTTCTTCTCCTCGTCGTTCGCGACCTTGTGCATACATGATGATAAACCGGTTTTGGGGCAGGCGGCATGTGCTAGATGGTATGATGGAGGAGGTGTGGAGGTTGTTGAGATGGAGTCCAAGGAAAGATTGGGACGAGTTCGACACAACTCACATGACTGTCATTGAGAACGAGTGGTGGGAGAAGTTGCACACAATTTTGAATGTTGTGGAGCTGATATACGAGTTGTTGAGGAAGATGGACCGCAATGGCACAACCCTCCCAAGCCTTTGACATTTCGAAGAGGGGTTGGGAGGCGTGCCAATACACTCACGCGGTTGACCAATGTTCAGCGGGAGACGATTATGAAGGCAGTGAACAAACGCACGAAGATGATGAGGCAGCCTGTTCATGCAGCAAACTTTCTCCCCGACCCAAGAAAGAGAGACAAGAAGTGGTCGATGGACATGCAAACCCCGTGGGTCCAAAACACCCTGAAGTTCTTCTTGTCACAGCGCAAAGAGGAGGCTGCTTGGGCGCGCAAGGAGCATCTCGATCTGTGGGCAGACTTGCAAGCACTCCACAGGGAGCCAATCGAAGACATGTTGAAGGATCCAATGACAGGGAAAGTGTTGGAGGAGAGCTTGTGGAGCTGCTTCGCAAAGTTTGACAGCCCGCTTACTCAAATGACCACCTCTAAATGGTGGAACCTACACGGAGGCTGTCATAAGAAGTTGCAGGACATTGTCATGAGGGTCACAGCGATGCGGAGCCCCACAACCCCTTGTGAGAGGAATTGGTCCTCTCTCTATATTGTCCACGACAAGAGGAGGGGCCCACTGTCCCCTGACAGTCTCGCAAAGTTAGTCTATGTCCACTGGAATCTTCTATTGTTGGACATCAAGAACAAGAGCAAGGGGAGCTTGGCGGGGTATTTGGATATGTGGGTTGCATTCTTTGACAATGTGGAGGCGCCACCACCGGATGATCCTGCGGCTTTGCCCAAGGCTGCGACTGTAGCGGATTTGACTGGCGACAAATTGGTCCACCAACCAAATCTCACGAAGACTCATCGGGCTAGCGTCCTCAAGCATCAGGCCGTTGATGAATCAAGCTCGTTGGACAGTAGTGATGATGGGGAGGACCTTCCTTTGAGATGCAAAGGGAATAAGAAAAAGGTTGTTGGAGTTCTTGATGGTGGCAAAGGCAAGGCGCAGATGGGTGCGGACGTCGAGGAAGAGGAAGTCGAGGAGAGCGAGGTAGATGACGAGAACTTTACGTTGTGGTCGCCACGGGCAAGCGATGTGTCTAGCTACGACGACGAATTGGACGAGGCTGTCACGTGCAACGTGGAGCGGGGTCACCTAGATAGTGACCTCGAGTTCTCGGTGCCTAGGAAGATGAACTTCAACGCACACATAGGAGCGAAGATGGACCTCGACGATGACACTGACAAGGTGAGGGCATAATCCCTTGTGTAACGATATCGTGCCCTCGTGGAGCAGCGGGTGCGAGAAGAAACAACAGAACAAATTGTTGTCCCCCCTTCGGGGAGGAAGAACATCACATTGGTGGGAAGGGGTAGTTGTCTAGCAGCCGAGGAGGTTCGGCAGTAGCAACACTGTGACAAGGAAGGCATTTAACATCAACAAGAAGAGGAAGAAGTGCATCACCAGCGAGAGGATGGACTACAACAGCAACAACAAGAAGAAGGTTGCAACAGGAGACACGAGAGCAAAAAGATGGGCTACAACACCAGCAGCAGCAAGAGGATGAGCTGCAACAGCAGCAGCATAGCAGCCAACGCAGGACGGGTTGCTACAACAGCAAGAGACTGGGCCGCAGCAGCTATAGCAACAACATCAAGAAGGACTGCGGCAGCAACAACATCACGAAGGACTGCATCAGTAGTAGCATCAGCAGCAACAACACGATGGTCTGTAGCAGCAACAACAAGAGAAGAACAGTGCACAACGAATCGCTCGAGTTTACTACAGGCGGCCACAAAGGTCCAGCACAACAGCCATCCTGAATGCGGTTCAAACCCTTCCTTTCCCACCAGAGATCGAAGACATGCAGCACGACAACTTGGACGTTAGCCTGGCAGGAAGGAAGCGGAAGGTGCACCCTGACGCTGGTCTAAAAGTGGCAAGGAAAAGGGGCCGCCCGAGGAAGTATCCACTGGCAGCGTTAGCAGGTGTTGCTGCCAGTGTGGATGGTGCTAAAGGGGGTGAGGTGCAAGAGCATATCACTCCGGGGAGGAAGGTGCAAGGGGGCCCTACAGTCGCACTAGACGGTGTGGAGACAAGCCTGCCAAAGCAGCCGAGGAGGAAGGTGGTGAAGAAGGCGAGGGTCATGGAAGAGGATTCAGCCGATGTGGAAGAAGGTAGCAGTGGGAGAGATAAAGAGGGCCGGGAAAGTGACGGGGAATAGCCACATACATCAGTGACACAATATGTCCTTGATGTATGTGTGGGGTCTTATAGACAGGGCTCAGTGGGGGAGGAAGGTGCAAGGGGGCCCTACACTTCCAATGGTTTGAGGGCTCACGATGTTCAACGGTCAAAGTCGAAGTGGTGGTTGTCTCACACAGTTAATCCCTTGGGTTTGCAAGACAATCAATGTTGTGCCTCTTCTTCTTTTACTTCTTATTCTTCCACTACTACTTGTACTACTACTTCTTCTTCTTCTTCTTTTTCTTCTTGAAGTTCTTCTTCTTCTTCTTGAAGTTCTTCTTCTTCTTCTTCTTCTTCTTCTTCTTCTTCTTCTTCTGTTATGACGGTTTTCATGTTATGCCAGTGGAGGCTCACTATTGATTAGAATTCATAAGACCAATGATTCCTTGAAACACTTTCTGTGAATCTGTGGGCTGTACTTAAGTTGTTTTCAAGTTCTGATTCTTCAGAACATCTGAGAACATGACTTCGAGTTTGCTCGCGTTGCTGCTTGAAATCACGTGGGCTGGGGGCGGGGGAGTTGCTTTGAGTTTGCTCGCATGGCTGCTTGAAAGCCTTGATTTTTTTTTTTTTGGGGGGGGTGCCTTGAGTTTGCTCGCATTGCTGTTTGAAAGCACGGGCAGCAGCAAACTCAGTCTGAGTGTGGACTGGAACTTAAGTTTGCGTCCACAGTCAGACTGAGTCTGCTGCTCCCAGTGACCTCAACTTAAGTACGAGTCCACACTCAAACTAAGTCAGCAGACTAAGACTGAGAGTCTGAGTGAGGGCTGAAACTCAAGTTTGAGTCCACACTCATACCTAGTGTGCTGCTTGAAACCAGTGGGACTGAGTTGCTTAGAGTTTGCTGCTTGAAATCACGTGGGGCAGCAGAATCCACACTCCGACTCCCCGTGATTTCAAGCAGCAAACTCTAAGCAACTCAACCCCACTGGTCTCAAGCAGCACACTCGGTATGAGACTTCGCTTTGAGAATGCTGCTTGAGATCACATTCAAGGCAGGGGATTCTTATTTGCTGCTTGAACCTGCCTCACTTTTGAGATTCTATGGGGGATACAGAAGTTGCTGTGTTCAGCCTGTCCTGCAGCAGCTGGTGCATGCGACCAGTAGCAGGTCATCAAGCATAGGCAGGACACAGCAGCTGCTGTATCCCTCGTCTTGCAAATGGACAGCCCGCTATCCACCCTGCTCCTGCACCCCCTCCCCTCTCGATCCTTCCCCCCCCCCGCCAACAAGAAAACACACACACAAAAGCATATGCACGAAAATTAAAAATGGGGCCGGATAATGGCATCACTCGGAATGCGCAGCAAGGCGTCGAAGTCGGGGGGAAAAAAAAATCAGTGCATTTTTTGCCATCCCGGCCCTCCCGGGGTACCCCGGACGTGTTTGTTTGTCACACTTATTCAGCATAGGACAAAACGATAGGTGCTCCTTATGCGCAAAACAGAGCAAAACCGCGGAGAGAGATGGTGGGAGAAGACAAGTATAAGAAAGACGAAAGCACACCACCCAAAGAAGAAGACAAGTGTCCCAAACACGACTGGAAATTTAAAAGATAGTAATCATCAAACGCAACTGCCGGAAAAACTCCGACTGGCATTACGACCCGACCGGTTTCGCTTGGCCGCCAACCAGGACTCATCAGGGGTCTAAGTCACGTGAAAGACACATGCCTAAGACTTAGATTTATGCTCCGAGACCGCCTGAAAAAAAGACTATCACCCTCATCCTCGAGATAACGAGCTCGAAACCCGAACCACCGTGAACACCAAGATCTCCAAAAAAGCGGGTCCTCGTGTAACATCCTCTCAGTAACTGAAAAAACAGACCAGCCTTCAAGGACCAAAAACAGGAAACCACCAAAAGACCCCCTAAAACCAGGAATCCTTGAAAAAATCAACTTACCTCAACATGCGACCCCACTTTGTCAAAAATGGCAGCCATTCTGACCATAACACCCCAAATTTTCTCGAGAACTGAATCACCGCAGAATTAAAGGAGTCATCAGGGTAACCAAGCTTGCGCGAGAACAGAAAGAGTATCACCATACCCTCAATCGAAGAATAAGTTCTAGCACGGTGACGGAAGCAGTTAATGACAACCAGTTTTTGTTGACGGCTTGTATACGAAACATAATCCTGAATACAGTGAAACTTCACCCTTTCATTAACCTCCTCCTTCTGATTTTTCATCACAGGAAAGCACATCACACCCTTCTTCCCATCGAATACTTTGAGTACGCACCCAAGATAATCCCGACAGTCCCCCTCCTTTGTTTGTTCCAGGATCAAGTTATCATCATAAGAATCCCTAAATGAATCAATCAGGCGCAACGCCTTTGCGTACGAACACCCGTCCTTCTGATGATAGACAACAAATACCGAAATATCATCCACTAACCTAAACCCCTGAAACAACCGCTGATCAGCCCCGAGGCTAGACAAAACCACAAACTCGTTGAAGGCATACAATAAACACGCTAACGCAGGACTCGACGACTTACCCATCGGGATGCCAATCTTCTGCTGTAACAATCGACCAGTAGCCCAAACAAAGGTCTGACCAAGCTCAAATTCAACAAAGTTGAACACGGTCTTCAAAGCCATGCTCTTCCACCCTAAATCACATCTACCGGTCAATAGCTTCGCTCCTTCTTGAATCCTTGTTTCCGAATCCCAACTGTTACAGCAATCACACCCTTTTCCTGCCAAAAATCAATAACCCAGGAGAGAGCCTTCAAAATAGACTCGTGCGGAAGATTTGAGAACTTCTCGTTTACATCGAACGAGGCACCAAGGATCAGATCGCTCTCCATCTAACCACAGTTGACGGCCTTAATTGTAGTCAACAAGCAATCAGCACTCCGAAGGTTGAAATTAGACCAAGCAGGAAGATTCCATAACTGTTACAACGCATTAACAGCACGGGAAACTACTCGTCAACCAGCAGCGAAACAATCAGAGTAAGATGGACAAATAGGCCTCCATCTCGATACGTCTTTATGCTTACTAGGTAGGAAGTCAGCTACACCAATGTTATGAACTTGGTTGTCTGACGAATTTTCTCGCCACTCACACACAGACAATCTCACACATGCCCATACATGCATAAGAGAAGGGGAGAGAGGAGACAGAGTCCAAACTGCACACAGGTGAAGATAAACAGCGGAAGACAATTATGCACAACTGGGGAGAAGACACAGTGTTTCTCACTTTCTAACACAACTCCCAACAACCAATCACAAGAAAGAACCTGCGAAGATCACAATTGAAACTGTCACTGATGATGAGCCACTCACACAATTATCGTAACTGAGTTTGTTCCAGTATCTCGCCACACTCAGAACTCACACCCCACTCTCTATCYTACACCCAGTTAGTAGCGCTGCGTCAGAACAGCCTCCCAGAGGCCAGCRCCAACCACCCTGATGAAGAACAGGTCCTGTGATGAAGTCTTCAGTGCCGATGGACAACTCTGATGAAGGAACAGGCAGCTATGGCTGCCATCACCCACGAACCACCACTGTAGAGCCTMRGTACAGCCCGACCATACGCAGATACCCCCGGGGGTAGATGCGCTGAGGATGCCCCAGCTATGGCAGGCTCAGATGAGGCCGGCTATGGCTGCTGTTACGGTGCGTCTCAGGATACCGCCTGCAGACCGGCACCGCCACCAACTTGCTTGGCTTCTCCAACGCTGCTTCGCGAGAAATGAACTGCCAAAAGTCCTAAACCTACTCGGCCTGTCCTATTTCTAGATTCTACCCTAGACCTACTCGACCGAAACTGCTCTACCGGTACCGTTTCGACTTAGGGCCTCTAGGCCCTTCCCAGCTACGGGCTCTACCCACTGTAGGCCCTTAGGGCCTCTATGAYGTCRGGGAAGACTRGGCCTGCAATCGCARGSCCGGAACCGGTCTATTTTTAGAACAGCATATAGGCCTCATTGTGACCCAAAACTCTGCACGCACACACAACAAAGCACGCTGCAAAACACAACAGGGTACAACCTCGCCGTTAGTCACGGGAGCAGAAATCAGCACGTCATCGCACCTCAATGCCTTAAAAAAAAACACAGCAACAGCACAAAC